ACTCTTTAATCATACTAAATAATGGACAACCGACTTACCTTAACGAAGCAAGTGGTAGATTTAGTGCAATAGACTTATCACTAGCTTCCCCAGCCTTGGCACCACTGGTCCAATGGACAGTTCTAGAGGATGCTCATCATAGCGATCATTTCCCTATTCTAATGCAGTTAAACATTAAAAAATTCGACAGCAAGAGAGTATGGAAGTATAATACCAAAAAGGCAGATTGGGCAAAATTTGAAGAATGTGTACAAACACCCAACGTGCTGCAAACCTCAATTGAGAACGCAGCCGAGAACGTGAGGATGCAAATAATGACAGCTGCATCGAAAGCTATACCGAGGTCAGGAGGGAAAACGAAGCGGCCCCCGGTGCCCTGGTGGAATGCTGAAATTAAGAACCTTAATAAAACAAAAAAACAATTGCTGAATATATTTAAAAGGCACCGTACGAGTGAAAACTGGGTGAAATTTAAGATCGCACGGGCAAGAGAAAGGAGTGCAAAAAGAAAGGCACAGAGAGAATCATGGCAGGAATATACATCTACACTGACCCACTTCAGCTCTCAAAGAGAAATGTGGAAGAAAGTGGGGTGTATCATCGGATCTACCAGACCACAAAGGGAACACACCCTATTAATAAATGGAACAGCCGTGAAAGAACCAGAACGCATAGCCAAATACCTAGTAGAATTCTTTCGGGAGATATCCAGCGATACACAGTACAGTGAAGAGTTTAAATCTCAAAAACAAATCAGAGAATCTGTACCCCTAAACTTCCAAAGCAGCAATCAAGAATCCTATAACACACCCTTTGATATGACCGAAATGGAAAGTGCGCTTGAACGGTCCAAAGATACGGCCCCAGGGCACGACGAAATATCCTTCAGCATGCTGAAGCATCTGCCCCCTGAAGCCAAAAATGCACTGCTGCAGTTATATAATAACATATGGAAGGGCAACACTTATCCAGAGTCGTGGAAACTTGCAACAATTATACCGCTGGCAAAGGAGAATAAGAACAATTCACAACCGGAAAATTTTCGCCCAATTTCCCTTACATCATGCTTGTCCAAGATTATGGAGAGAATGGTTAATAATCGATTAGTGAGTATGCTGGAGAAGGATGGTCGAATAAGTAAATATCAAGCCGGGTTCAGGAAGGGACACTCGACAGTGGACCAACTCCTTTATTTAGATTACATTGTCAAGGGGGCTTTCACTAATACTGAACACGCCACTGCGGTATTTTTTGATATTAAAAAAGCGTACGAGTAGATAAGGGGCCACCTATGCGAGACTGTCACATGGCGCAGCAGACAGTGAGGTTCAAGCGCACGTGCGTTGTGGTGTCTGCGTCGTCTTGGCATCTGACCTTCGGGGCAGTTCGAGCAGAAGTATTTTGGTAGTTGGCCCAGGGGTGCGAATCATATTTTAGTTAGGGGTAGGTTCAGGGGTAGCTCAAATGCCCTAGGGGGTTATTTATAGAATATAAAAGGAACTTTATTTGTTACTTCCTTCAAAGTCGTAGAAATCCGTCCGTTCCTTTAAAATTGCGGAAAGCCATCGTGGCGTTGCCATACTAGTGGATAGGTACCTATGAAAAAAATTTATTTTGGATAAGTACAAATAATAATTTCAAGTTATGTTTTTAAAAATAGGCTCTTGCATAAAATTGCACAATCCATATTATCGTCTGACCACGTGACAAATGTCTAGTAGGTAATGCATTCTAATAAAGGCAGTACACCTGCAGTAACTCGTTAGTAGGAAGACGAGGTTCGAAGTGATAACGTGCTTGTGATTCGTTTCAGCAGAAATTGAATTTTTTTTCTGGGCGCGCACTTAACCCATATTTTGGTACCCTCGAGCGACCCCAAAATCAGCTTTTGTATTAGAATTCGAAATCTGCCTTAGGAAAAGTAGACTACCATCGATAAGATTTTTGTTAAGTGGAAGTCTTCCGCTTGCTATAAGAAGCTAAACGTTTTCTCGATTTAGTGATTAGTCTGTTTCATCCCAAGCGCAGCGAGTGGCGGATGTTAATTACTGTAACTACGTTTTAGTCGACGATTTGTTGAAATGTTTATAAAATTTATATGATCGCTTTACTACCTTCAACAATAGAAATTAAAAATTCGTAGGCTGGTAAAATCTCCCAATATTACGAAAAATTGCACAATCGAGTTAATTATTGCAAGAGCTTTTGCAAGCACTGGAGCATCGTAGACATTCCATTTAGTACGCATATGCAGCTCAACGGCTTGGTTCTGATTGCGTGTTTAGACTTCCATTAATTATCTAACATTGCATCATCTTCATCAGGTGACACCTGTAATCCTACGGCGGTAATCAGTATCCGTTTGAGCGTTAATGCAGGTAGTTCATATTTTTCTTTGTAAAGAATATCGTCTACGTAGTACGTGTAGTCAAAAATTACATATAGATTAGATTAGGTGTACATTGTCTTCAAGCAATTTTCATTGAAATTTGAAGACTTGGAATTTATCCACTTATATCAGCCTTTTTCCGATCACGTGATTATTCGCTTTCTATAAAAAGCTAAACGTTTTCTCAGTTTGTCAGTTTAATTTGAAACGCCGTTAGTGACGTATTTTATAACAACTGGGATAAAGTATAAAGTACCTATAGCATCAAATAATTATAAAAATTTATGAGCGCATTATTATACCCTGCACGATAGTAATTAATAGTTCAGTCAAATCAATTATTACGAGAAAATTTAAAAATCGAGTTATTTAACGGGTCAGTTTTTACAATCTGGGTGACGAATTCTTTTTAGTGCGTAACCGCAGCTTAACTGTGCCCTTTGGTTTAGCTATCGACTTTCTATTAAAAATTATACTTTTAGATAAGGTGAATAATTAAATTACAATTTAATTAACAAGTAACAACTTGCAGAAGAATCTAAACATGCCCAGTTTTGTAATTGAGAAGGAGTTTGAAAAGAACGTTAGAAGATTTGGTTTAAAAGGGCGAACTATTCAATTTAAGTTAAAGCAAATACCACCAAACGAAAATGGCATATTATGGATTAAGAATGCAATCAGACAAATCGTCACCTATGCATGCGATAAGATTTCGGCTGAAGATATGGTCGGGTTTACTTTTTGTTCTAAACAATTCTGTCGCGGAAGGGGTTATTTGAAGTTTCAACGCGCTGATTCGGTATATTTTGAAGACATATGGGAGATGATTTCGTCTATATACCAATCAAATTCTGAGGGATTGAGCACAGAAACTTTTTGTTTGGAAGTGACCGTTGTCCGTACCCCGATAGGCAGGGGGAGAGCTTCTAACAAATACAGTAGTTTTGAGGAGGAATGTAAAGCAAGGCAAGGAATTGTTTACATTAAAAATGTAGATAATTTATGCTTACCTAGAGCTCTTGTCGTTGCAATAGCCAATGCAACTGATGATTCTGATTATCAAAATATACGCAGGGATGTAGCTCAAATTCAATACAAAAAAGCAAAGCAATTAATGCAAGAAGCTGATATTGCGATTGGAGCAAACGGAGCAGGTTTACCTGAATTAGAAAAGTTTCAATCCCATCTAAATAATTTTAAAATTGTAGTTTATAATTATGGTACGAAAGGGCGCGATCTCCTTTTTGAGGGTGCTTCTGACGCATCACTAAAAATTAATTTATTGTATCATAATAATCATTACAATGTAATAACCTCACTAACGTCTGCCTTTGTATGCCGGTATTTTTGCGATAAGTGTCACGTGGGCTATAATAATAAATTCGTTCACAAATGCCCCGGTGTTTGTTCATCATGCAAACATTCTCCTCCATGCGATCGCGATCAGTCAATAAAGTGCTCAGACTGTTGCAGATATTTTGTTTCTAAAACATGTTTTGACAATCACAAAGAATTAGGCTACAGAGATCATAAATCGATTTGCGAAAAATTCTTTAAGTGCCGAACTTGCTATAAAACAGTTCGAGAAGGGAAGGATCACATGTGTAACTCATATTATTGTAAAAACTGTAAGCAAAACCGGCCAGCTGATCATCTTTGTTATATGCCTGTAGATAATTCAGCGCCAAATTTAAAAAAATTTTTATTCATTTTCTACGACCTTGAATGTACGCAAGACAAAAAATTTAGTGAGTTGAAAACTTTACATGAGCCGAATTTGTGCGTTTTTAATCAAAGGTGCGAGGTGTGTTTAAATGAACCCTTGGAAAAAATGATTTGTAACAACTGCGCTGTACGACAGCAAATCCTAAAATTTTCCGATGTTATTGAGAGATTTGTTTATTACATTTTAGAAATAAAAAGAAGGTTCAAACGCGTCATCGTTTTGGCTCATAATGGGCAGGCGTATGATCACCAATTTATTTTAAATTATATTTTAACCAAAACTCAATTTAAACCTGAGATGATTATGCGAGGGTCTAAAATTATTTCTATGTATATCGATAATGTCACATTTTTGGATTCCTTAAACTATTTTCCAATGGCTCTATCGAAACTACCCAAAGCATTTGGTTTGAATGATAACTTTCAAAAGGGTTATTTCCCATATTATTTTAATACACTTGAAAATCAATGTTACACAGGACCTTATCCTGATATGCAGTACTATGGGCCAGATTCTATGATGGCAGACGATCGAGAAAAATTCATTCTTTGGTATAATGAAAACAAAGGCAACGCGTTTGATATGCAAAAAGAAATTGTCTCGTACTGTGTATCTGACGTAAATATTCTAACATTGGCTTGTTTAAAATTCAGAGATTCGTTAATTAAAGCGGGGAACGTATGCCCATTTTCAGAAGCTTGCACTATTGCTAGCTCGTGTAATAAACTGTTTCGTCGAAACTTTTTGAAACCGGATACTATTGGTTTGATTCCGAGACATGGGTATCGTTATAGAGATAAACAATCAAAGATAGCAATTGAGTGGTTAATATGGGAGGAAAAAGTAAGAGAAATTAACATCTTGCACGCTGCTAAAGGGAAGGAAATGGTACTAGGTGGTTTATCCGTCGACGGGTATTGCGCAGAAACAAATCAAGTCTTCGAAATGATGGGGTGTTTCTACCACGGCTGCACAAATTGTTTTAAAAACGATCGTGATAAACCAGTATATAATAACAGCGACGAGACCATGAATCTAAGATATGAAAATACCCGTTCGAAGATCGATCATTTAAATCAACTAGGTTACGAGGTCATAGTGAAATGGGAATGCGAATTTAATCAAGAGAAAAACTCCGATATGACTCTGTACATATCTGACCATCCGCTAATCAATTTTGCCCCTTTAAATGCGAGAGATAGTTTTTACGGAGGTCGCACAGGAAACATCAAGTCTTACTACCAAGTGAAAGAAGGGGAAAAAATAAAATATATTGATATCTGCTCATTGTACCCCTGGGTTTGTAAGTATGGAAAATTTCCGCTAGGACACCCCAAAGTTTTACTCTCGAATGACTTGATCGATCTAGATGTTACCAAAGTAGACGGCATCGTTAAATGTAAGGTATTACCTCCGCAAAATTTATTTCACCCGGTACTTCCAATAAAACTAAATAATAAATTAATGTTCCCTCTGTGTTTCTCTTGCGCCAAGAGCTTTAATCAGGGGGAATGTTGTCACAACACAGAGGAGAGAGCCATTGTGGGAACTTGGGTCATTGACGAACTTGTTAAAGCTTTAGAAAAGGGGTATGAAGTTCTACAAATCTACGAAGTTTGGGATTATAAAACCGAACAATATGATGGGAAGACAGGGGGATTATTTACAGAAATGATGAATAAATTTATCAAAATTAAACAGGAAGCGAGTGGATGGCCCTCGAACTGTAAAACTTTCGAACAGAAAATTGCATATATTGCTCAATTTTTTGAAAAAGAAGGAATTCATTTGGATTTTGATAGTATTGTAACTAACCCAGGTCTGCGCTCATTGGCAAAACTTATTTTAAATTCATTTTTTGGTAAATTTGGGCAACGGGAAAATCAACCGAAGACAAAAATTGTTAAGCAGTCGACCGAACTGTATTCACTACTATTTGATCCAGCAATTGAAGTTGTTGGAATTTTACCAATAAACGAGGAAACATTGGTAGTCAATTATCAATACAAAGAGGAATCATATACTCCTTTAAGTACAGTTAATGTTTCAATTGCGGCGTACGTCACAGCACAAGCACGTTTAAAATTGTACTCCTACTTGGATCAATTAGGGGAAAGGGTTTTGTATTTTGATACCGATAGTGTTATTTATATTTCACGAGAAGGCGAATATGAGCCCGAAACAGGCGACTGCCTTGGTGACATGACCAATGAGCTGGAGTGTTACGGACCAGGAAGCTACATCACCGAATTTGCGTCGGGTGGTCCAAAAAATTATGGATTTGTGGTCTACTCTCCTACTCAAGATAAATGTTTTCAATCGTGTAAGGTAAAAGGCATATCAATTAATCATGAAGTATCAAAATTGGTAAACTTCGACACGATGAAAAACATGATAATTAACGAAGAGCCGCCTCAGAAAATATTGTATAAGAATTTTGAAAGAACCGCAGAACATCAGGTTTTAACTGTCCAAAGAGAGAAAATATTCCGACCGAATCTATTGAAAAGGTGTTTCAGCAGTTACGAATCGTATCCCTATGGATATAAAAAATTTAAAACGGAAGAAGATGAAGACAATAGGAATCGCGGGTCATCATTTCCCGAAGCATCTATATATCTCCAACTCCAACAAGAGCAATGAGAGGAAAAGTTTGACGAATTAGTGCGTACCAGTATAAATTTTGTGATACCTACACCTACCTATACTTACGCATTTTATATTGACTTACAACAAACTACAAGTAAACCAATAAACTAGTTAGGTGATATTGTAACTTACCTATATAATAATTAGCGAAATTCCGTTTGTTATATTTGCGATGTGTGTTTACAAGACAAATAAAAAATGAATAGGTTTTCTTTTCTTTTACCACATCGGCACCAGTGATCCACCTACCTGTAAAAGAATAAATGGTAAGTTACATCAGGTAATTCTCCTTTAGGTAGATTTCTATCTATTTACCTAATGTAATGGTACCAGTACCTACATTTATAGGTACTTCCAAAAACACTCTAACTTTCGTAACTATAAAGCAATTTCGAACAAACTTTAAGAGATGGTGTAGCTCATAAGTATCTCGGACAAGTTTGTGGATCAGTCAATTCCGTCATACAACAACAACAAAATGGCGGAAAGATATCTACCTATACCTGATCGGCAGAGCCGAAGGGGATTTTGATATTAAAAATCACTTCTATCCTCTTTATAATTACCTTAATTCTAACATTACAAATGGCATTTTAAGTTAGGAATGTAGCGTTCCATTTTATCACGTATTTGATAGTAAACTTTTATCTTGATTTAGCATTAATTACGTCAATTGTTGGTTAAAGGTTGTTCCATATTTTGAAGGTGTTTGAAAAGTCTGGAAAGGAGTGTGACTGAATATCACTACGCTCCATCATTTGGCTAAATTAATGTCATCATCCCCTCCTACTACTCTACTGACACTGTTTTCGACAATCGAACACTTACGCTTCCTCAAATGGATTGGGTTTGTTAATAAAAACATTAAAAATCAAGATTTTTATACATCAATTCCATTCTAGATAGCTGGTTAAATAGAACTCAATCTAGTTTCAAAGGTACTATCAGACAAAGTTTCTATAATTTTGAAGGGGAAGGATCTTTTAAGACCGGTGAGAATACTCGCATTCGCACGCGTTTTTCATGAGTTAAAGGAATAATTAAAAACAATGTCCTAGTGTCATCGCTATTGCGGTGAGTTCGAATCTCACAACTTGCCAATTTTTTAGTAGTACAAAACATATCCTGATTACCAAGCTTCGTAGGGCATGTACCTAAAGTTGGCGGTTCCGGCAGTGTACCATGACTGTCGTTAGGTGACGCAGACGGCTGTTGATGTGATCTAAAAACGTCTGTACCTCGGGAGTTTCACCATAAATAAGTGTTCAATTGGACAGCTCAATGAAAGTTCGTCAATAAAGTCGCTCAAAAGTGACATCAGACTTCAATGAAGTCAATTTTAGTTAGAAAGAAAAAGAAAACCGTACGTTCTGATGCAGCGATCTGTGCTCGTCATAAGGAAAGCAATTCTTTTGATACGACTATCACTACCGTATGGTTCTAGTCTGGGAAGATCAGGAATTGTTTCATAATGCGATATGCATTCCACCTTTCATCAGAGCTTTTTTCAAAATATTTATTGAAATACTACTCCTTAGAGTATAATTGCTGTGGTTGCTGTAAAGATCGTTTCCAAGGTCTCCCAGCGAATATAATCTACCGATCCCGATGCTCAACAAGTAACCCACTTAACGTACAGGTCATTTATTTTGGGGTTAATACCTTCTCACTCGATTGGTTTGATGACAACTAAACTAATATTTATTGAAGGTCTCAAACGAGATGGGGTCGATCGTTTACTTGTCGAATTCTTCAATTATCGCTGTAGTAAACACGCCGCTGGTTTACCCATGTCCAGCTCATAAGTTAAATCAGTCCACAACCAGTCGTATCCCCATTCCCCTCACGCAAAATATTCACTGCAATACCGACGCATTGACTCATTTTTACGGTTGATGAGTATAACCTCTACAATATAGGGTATTTGATATTCATGTTTTAAGGCGATACTAAATCGCCCGCCTAATTTTACGACGAAGCCAGTTACATCAGATTTACCTAATAGGTCTACATTCGCTCGCTTGATCTACATACCCAAATAGTAAATACATTCGACTTGTACTGTAACAGGAGATCCGTCTGATTTAAAGTGAGGTGTTTCTGATTAAACTCAACGGCGCGAAGAAATAAGATCAGCTGTCCTGGAACACTCGCCCTTAAATCCGTACGCACACGCTTAATTAAACGCGAATGGAACCACAGACCAAGCTTAATTGCAAACTCCACTGAATGTAAATCGCACTCGAACCGAACCCGAATAACTAAGATACGATTTGAGATTCATCGTGTTCATGGATGAACGGGGAAACTGATTGCAAATGGAAACAGATCCATTGTATGGGGCCCCTTTCTAGTAAACAGAGAAAGTTACTTCTCTAATGGTGACCGAGCGACATTGTCAGGTGTTATTGATTGATTATAGATTTCGAAGGACACAGAAGATCAAACGTATAACTGGTAAACAGGAAAACAGGTAAACAGATGAACGGGTAAACAGGTAAACAGATGAACAGGTAAACAGATAAACAAGACATGTTTACTGTTTAAACAAGACATGTTTATCTGTTTACCTGTTCATCTGTTTACCTGTTTACCTGTTCATCTGTTTACCTGTTCATGTGTTTACCTGTTTATCTGTTTACCTGTTCATCTGTTTACGCGTTCATCTGTTTACCTGTTTATCTGTTTACCTGTTCATCTGTTTACCTGTTTACCTGTTCATCTGTTTACCTGTTTACCCGTTCATCTGTTTACCTGTTTTCCTGTTTACCAGTTATACGTTTGATCTTCTGTGTCCTTCGAAATCTATAATCAATCAATAACACCTGACAATGTCGCTCGGTCACCATTAGAGAAGTAACTTTCTCTGTTTACTAGAAAGGGGCCCCATACAATGGATCTGTTTCCATTTGCAATCAGTTTCCCCGTTCATCCATGAACACGATGAATCTCAAATCGTATCTTAGTTATTCGGGTTCGGTTCGAGTGCGATTTACATTCAGTGGAGTTTGCAATTAAGCTTGGTCTGTGGTTCCATTCGCGTTTAATTAAGCGTGTGCGTACGGATTTAAGGGCGAGTGTTCCAGGACAGCTGATCTTATTTCTTCGCGCCGTTGAGTTTAATCAGAAACACCTCACTTTAAATCAGACGGATCTCCTGTTACAGTACAAGTCGAATGTATTTACTATTTGGGTATGTAGATCAAGCGAGCGAATGTAGACCTATTAGGTAAATCTGATGTAACTGGCTTCGTCGTAAAATTAGGCGGGCGATTTTAGTATCGCCTTAAAACATGAATATCAAATACCCTATATTGTAGGGGTTATACTCATCAACCGTAAAAATGAGTCAATGCGTCGGTATTGCAGTGAATATTTTGCGTGAGGGGAATGGGGATACGACTGGTTGTGGACTGATTTAACTTATGAGCTGGACATGGGTAAACCAGCGACGTGTTTACTACAGCGATAATTGAAGAATTCGACAAGTAAACGATCGACCCCATCTCGTTTGAGACCTTCAATAAATATTAGTTTAGTTGTCATCAAACCAATCGAGTGAGAAGGTATTAACCCCAAAATAAATGACCTGTACGTTAAGTGGGTTACTTGTTGAGCATCGGGATCGGTAGATTATATTCGCTGGGAGACCTTGGAAACGATCTTTACAGCAACCACAGCAATTATACTCTAAGGAGTAGTATTTCAATAAATATTTTGAAAAAAGCTCTGATGAAAGGTGGAACGCATATCGCATTATGAAACAATTCCTGATCTTCCCAGACTAGAACCATACGGTAGTGATAGTCGTATCAAAAGAATTGCTTTCCTTATGACGAGCACAGATCGCTGCATCAGAACGTACGGTTTTCTTTTTCTTTCTAACTAAAATTGACTTCATTGAAGTCTGATGTCACTTTTGAGCGACTTTATTGACGAACTTTCATTGAGCTGTCCAATTGAACACTTATTTATGGTGAAACTCCCGAGGTACAGACGTTTTTAGATCACATCAACAGCCGTCTGCGTCACCTAACGACAGTCATGGTACACTGCCGGAACCGCCAACTTTAGGTACATGCCCTACGAAGCTTGGTAATCAGGATATGTTTTGTACTACTAAAAAATTGGCAAGTTGTGAGATTCGAACTCACCGCAATAGCGATGACACTAGGACATTGTTTTTAATTATTCCTTTAACTCATGAAAAACGCGTGCGAATGCGAGTATTCTCACCGGTCTTAAAAGATCCTTCCCCTTCAAAATTATAGAAACTTTGTCTGATAGTACCTTTGAAACTAGATTGAGTTCTATTTAACCAGCTATCTAGAATGGAATTGATGTATAAAAATCTTGATTTTTAATGTTTTTATTAACAAACCCAATCCATTTGAGGAAGCGTAAGTGTTCGATTGTCGAAAACAGTGTCAGTAGAGTAGTAGGAGTGGATGATGACATTAATTTAGCCAAATGATGGAGCGTAGTGATATTCAGTCACACTCCTTTCCAGACTTTTCAAACACCTTCAAAATATGGAACAACCTTTAACCAACAATTGACGTAATTAATGCTAAATCAAGATAAAAGTTTACTATCAAATACGTGATAAAATGGAACGCTACATTCCTAACTTAAAATGCCATTTGTAATGTTAGAATTAAGGTAATTATAAAGAGGATAGAAGTGATTTTTAATATCAAAATCCCCTTCGGCTCTGCCGATCAGGTATAGGTAGATATCTTTCCGCCATTTTGTTGTTGTTGTATGACGGAATTGACTGATCCACAAACTTGTCCGAGATACTTATGAGCTACACCATCTCTTAAAGTTTGTTCGAAATTGCTTTATAGTTACGAAAGTTAGAGTGTTTTTGGAAGTACCTATAAATGTAGGTACTGGTACCATTACATTAGGTAAATAGATAGAAATCTACCTAAAGGAGAATTACCTGATGTAACTTACCATTTATTCTTTTACAGGTAGGTGGATCACTGGTGCCGATGTGGTAAAAGAAAAGAAAACCTATTCATTTTTTATTTGTCTTGTAAACACACATCGCAAATATAACAAACGGAATTTCGCTAATTATTATATAGGTAAGTTACAATATCACCTAACTAGTTTATTGGTTTACTTGTAGTTTGTTGTAAGTCAATATAAAATGCGTAAGTATAGGTAGGTGTAGGTATCACAAAATTTATACTGGTACGCACTAATTCGTCAAACTTTTCCTCTCATTGCTCTTGTTGGAGTTGGAGATATATAGATGCTTCGGGAAATGATGACCCGCGATTCCTACTGTCTTCATCTTCTTCCGTTTTAAATTTTTTATATCCATAGGGATACGATTCGTAACTGCTGAAACACCTTTTCAATAGATTCGGTCGGAATATTTTCTCTCTTTGGACAGTTAAAACCTGATGTTCTGCGGTTCTTTCAAAATTCTTATACAATATTTTCTGAGGCGGCTCTTCGTTAATTATCATGTTTTTCATCGTGTCGAAGTTTACCAATTTTGATACTTCATGATTAATTGATATGCCTTTTACCTTACACGATTGAAAACATTTATCTTGAGTAGGAGAGTAGACCACAAATCCATAATTTTTTGGACCACCCGACGCAAATTCGGTGATGTAGCTTCCTGGTCCGTAACACTCCAGCTCATTGGTCATGTCACGAAGGCAGTCGCCTGTTTCGGGCTCATATTCGCCTTCTCGTGAAATATAAATAACACTATCGGTATCAAAATACAAAACCCTTTCCCCTAATTGATCCAAGTAGGAGTACAATTTTAAACGTGCTTGTGCTGTGACGTACGCCGCAATTGAAACATTAACTGTACTTAAAGGAGTATATGATTCCTCTTTGTATTGATAATTGACTACCAATGTTTCCTCGTTTATTGGTAAAATTCCAACAACTTCAATTGCTGGATCAAATAGTAGTGAATACAGTTCGGTCGACTGCTTAACAATTTTTGTCTTCGGTTGATTTTCCCGTTGCCCAAATTTACCAAAAAATGAATTTAAAATAAGTTTTGCCAATGAGCGCAGACCTGGGTTAGTTACAATACTATCAAAATCCAAATGAATTCCTTCTTTTTCAAAAAATTGAGCAATATATGCAATTTTCTGTTCGAAAGTTTTACAGTTCGAGGGCCATCCACTCGCTTCCTGTTTAATTTTGATAAATTTATTCATCATTTCTGTAAATAATCCCCCTGTCTTCCCATCATATTGTTCGGTTTTATAATCCCAAACTTCGTAGATTTGTAGAACTTCATACCCCTTTTCTAAAGCTTTAACAAGTTCGTCAACGACCCAAGTTCCCACAATGGCTCTCTCCTCTGTGTTGTGACAACATTCCCCCTGATTAAAGCTCTTGGCGCAAGAGAAACACAGAGGGAACATTAATTTATTATTTAGTTTTATTGGAAGTACCGGGTGAAATAAATTTTGCGGAGGTAATACCTTACATTTAACGATGCCGTCTACTTTGGTAACATCTAGATCGATCAAGTCATTCGAGAGTAAAACTTTGGGGTGTCCTAGCGGAAATTTTCCATACTTACAAACCCAGGGGTACAATGAGCAGATATCAATATATTTTATTTTTTCCCCTTCTTTCACTTGGTAGTAAGACTTGATGTTTCCTGTGCGACCTCCGTAAAAACTATCTCTCGCATTTAAAGGGGCAAAATTGATTAGCGGATGGTCAGATATGTACAGAGTCATATCGGAGTTTTTCTCTTGATTAAATTCGCATTCCCATTTCACTATGACCTCGTAACCTAGTTGATTTAAATGATCGATCTTCGAACGGGTATTTTCATATCTTAGATTCATGGTCTCGTCGCTGTTATTATATACTGGTTTATCACGATCGTTTTTAAAACAATTTGTGCAGCCGTGGTAGAAACACCCCATCATTTCGAAGACTTGATTTGTTTCTGCGCAATACCCGTCGACGGATAAACCACCTAGTACCATTTCCTTCCCTTTAGCAGCGTGCAAGATGTTAATTTCTCTTACTTTTTCCTCCCATATTAACCACTCAATTGCTATCTTTGATTGTTTATCTCTATAACGATACCCATGTCTCGGAATCAAACCAATAGTATCCGGTTTCAAAAAGTTTCGACGAAACAGTTTATTACACGAGCTAGCAATAGTGCAAGCTTCTGAAAATGGGCATACGTTCCCCGCTTTAATTAACGAATCTCTGAATTTTAAACAAGCCAATGTTAGAATATTTACGTCAGATACACAGTACGAGACAATTTCTTTTTGCATATCAAACGCGTTGCCTTTGTTTTCATTATACCAAAGAATGAATTTTTCTCGATCGTCTGCCATCATAGAATCTGGCCCATAGTACTGCATATCAGGATAAGGTCCTGTGTAACATTGATTTTCAAGTGTATTAAAATAATATGGGAAATAACCCTTTTGAAAGTTATCATTCAAACCAAATGCTTTGGGTAGTTTCGATAGAGCCATTGGAAAATAGTTTAAGGAATCCAAAAATGTGACATTATCGATATACATAGAAATAATTTTAGACCCTCGCATAATCATCTCAGGTTTAAATTGAGTTTTGGTTAAAATATAATTTAAAATAAATTGGTGATCATACGCCTGCCCATTATGAGCCAAAACGATGACGCGTTTGAACCTTCTTTTTATTTCTAAAATGTAATAAACAAATCTCTCAATAACATCGGAAAATTTTAGGATTTGCTGTCGTACAGCGCAGTTGTTACAAATCATTTTTTCCAAGGGTTCATTTAAACACACCTCGCACCTTTGATTAAAAACGCACAAATTCGGCTCATGTAAAGTTTTCAACTCACTAAATTTTTTGTCTTGCGTACATTCAAGGTCGTAGAAAATGAATAAAAATTTTTTTAAATTTGGCGCTGAATTATCTACAGGCATATAACAAAGATGATCAGCTGGCCGGTTTTGCTTACAGTTTTTACAATAATATGAGTTACACATGTGATCCTTCCCTTCTCGAACTGTTTTATAGCAAGTTCGGCACTTAAAGAATTTTTCGCAAATCGATTTATGATCTCTGTAGCCTAATTCTTTGTGATTGTCAAAACATGTTTTAGAAACAAAATATCTGCAACAGTCTGAGCACTTTATTGACTGATCGCGATCGCATGGAGGAGAATGTTTGCATGATGAACAAACACCGGGGCATTTGTGAACGAATTTATTATTATAGCCCACGTGACACTTATCGCAAAAATACCGGCATACAAAGGCAGACGTTAGTGAGGTTATTACATTGTAATGATTATTATGATACAATAAATTAATTTTTAGTGATGCGTCAGAAGCACCCTCAAAAAGGAGATCGCGCCCTTTCGTACCATAATTATAAACTACAATTTTAAAATTATTTAGATGGGATTGAAACTTTTCTAATTCAGGTAAACCTGCTCCGTTTGCTCCAATCGCAATATCAGCTTCTTGCATTAATTGCTTTGCTTTTTTGTATTGAATTTGAGCTACATCCCTGCGTATATTTTGATAATCAGAATCATCAGTTGCATTGGCTATTGCAACGACAAGAGCTCTAGGTAAGCATAAATTATCTACATTTTTAATGTAAACAATTCCTTGCCTTGCTTTACATTCCTCCTCAAAACTACTGTATTTGTTAGAAGCTCTCCCCCTGCCTATCGGGGTACGGACAACGGTCACTTCCAAACAAAAAGTTTCTGTGCTCAATCCCTCAGAATTTGATTGGTATATAGACGAAATCATCTCCCATATGTCTTCAAAATATACCGAATCAGCGCGTTGAAACTTCAAATAACCCCTTCCGCGACAGAATTGTTTAGAACAAAAAGTAAACCCGACCATATCTTCAGCCGAAATCTTATCGCATGCATAGGTGACGATTTGTCTGATTGCATTCTTAATCCATAATATGCCATTTTCGTTTGGTGGTATTTGCTTTAACTTAAATTGAATAGTTCGCCCTTTTAAACCAAATCTTCTAACGTTCTTTTCAAACTCCTTCTCAATTACAAAACTGGGCATGTTTAGATTCTTCTGCAAGTTGTTACTTGTTAATTAAATTGTAATTTAATTATTCACCTTATCTAAAAGTATAATTTTTAATAGAAAGTCGATAGCTAAACCAAAGGGCACAGTTAAGCTGCGCTTACGCACTAAAAAGAATTCGTCACCCAGATTGTAAAAACTGACCCGTTAAATAACTCGATTTTTAAATTTTCTCGTAATAATTGATTTGACTGAACTATTAATTACTATCGTGCAGGGTATAATAATGCGCTCATAAATTTTTATAATTATTTGATGCTATAGGTACTTTATACTTTATCCCAGTTGTTATAAAATACGTCACTAACGGCGTTTCAAATTAAACTGACAAACTGAGAAAACGTTTAGCTTTTTATAGAAAGCGAATAATCACGTGATCGGAAAAAGGCTGATATAAGTGGATAAATTCCAAGTCTTCAAATTTCAATGAAAATTGCTTGAAGACAATGTACACCTAATCTAATCTATATGTAATTTTTGACTACACGTACTACGTAGACGATATTCTTTACAAAGAAAAATATGAACTACCTGCATTAACGCTCAAACGGATACTGATTACCGCCGTAGGATTACAGGTGTCACCTGATGAAGATGATGCAATGTTAGATAATTAATGGAAGTCTAAACACGCAATCAGAACCAAGCCGTTGAGCTGCATATGCGTACTAAATGGAATGTCTACGATGCTCCAGTGCTTGCAAAAGCTCTTGCAATAATTAACTCGATTGTGCAATTTTTCGTAATATTGGGAGATTTTACCAGCCTACGAATTTTTAATTTCTATTGTTGAAGGTAGTAAAGCGATCATATAAATTTTATAAACATTTCAACAAATCGTCGACTAAAACGTAGTTACAGTAATTAACATCCGCCACTCGCTGCGCTTGGGATGAAACAGACTAATCACTAAATCGAGAAAACGTTTAGCTTCTTATAGCAAGCGGAAGACTTCCACTTAACAAAAATCTTATCGATGGTAGTCTACTTTTCCTAAGGCAGATTTCGAATTCTAATACAAAAGCTGATTTTGGGGTCGCTCGAGGGTACCAAAATATGGGTTAAGTGCGCGCCCAGAAAAAAAATTCAATTTCTGCTGAAACGAATCACAAGCACGTTATCACTTCGAACCTCGTCTTCCTACTAACGAGTTACTGCAGGTGTACTGCCTTTATTAGAATGCATTACCTACTAGACATTTGTCACGTGGTCAGACGATAATATGGATTGTGCAATTTTATGCAAGAGCCTATTTTTAAAAACATAACTTGAAATTATTATTTGTACTTATCCAAAATAAATTTTTTTCATAGGTACCTATCCACTAGTATGGCAACGCCACGATGGCTTTCCGCAATTTTAAAGGAACGGACGGATTTCTACGACTTTGAAGGAAGTAACAAATAAAGTTCCTTTTATATTCTATAAATAACCCCTAGGGCATTTGAGCTACCCCTGAACCTACCCCTAACTAAAATATGATTCGCACCCCTGGGCCAACTACCAAAATACTTCTGCTCGAACTGCCCCGAAGGTCAGATGCCAAGACGACGCAGACACCACAACGCACGTGCGCTTGAACCTCACTGTCTGCTGCGCCATGTGACAGTCTCGCATAGGTGGCCCCTTATCTACTAACTCATCGTATTTACTAAATTTGTTTCCTTCATACAACATTTTTTTTGGGGACGTTTAACCGTAAGTGAATAGGTAGCCGAGTACATCATTTGACTTCAGCCGAACCGCGGCCTAACTACTTTAAAATCTCACTTTAAATTTCAATAATTATGCGATTGTATTTAAACAGGAATTTCATTACTAATTTTCACTATATACGATTCATCTATGAAAGCGGTGTGCATTTCTGCTTAGTAATAAGAGAGCCTTACCCGCGGCTACATTTAATATCGAGCTCCTAGTGCTCTTCAGCCCTTAGTTATATTTATCTATTTATATGCTACACTACAATCTAATCTAGAAATTTATACCGCAATCTCTATTCGTAAAGTTTAATTACATAGCTTTCAGAAGGAAATCGAAAAATATTTGGACCTTTAGTTTTCCACTTCTCTGTCTCCGTTGCCAACAACTTCCATCGAACGAACCACGATACTCCCTGTTTTAATTAATGCAATATGAAACAATATTTGATTTAGTTGCAATGACCGGAATGCTCTATATTGAACGGCAAGCGGTTTACGTGGGTGATTTTTGCAGAAATTTATTAATCTTTACTAAGACAAAGGACAATTAACTATGGTATTAATAGACAAATTGCTACCACTTTGAAGTCTTATAAAAGGAAAGTTGTGCGCTACTTGAGTAACGTATATAACGAGAGCCTTTTAATAAAGTTATTCCGTTCGGTATAACTAAGGCATTCGATTATGTTGACCATGAAATCCTAAAGTCCCTATAACTTTTCCAATATTAGTGTTGGTTTAATAAAATCCTACCTAACTGATAAGGTGACAATTTGTCAAATATAATAATACATTTTCCGATGCGTTGATGGTTAGGAATAGAGTTCCTCAGGGATCAGTTCTCGGGCCATGCTTATTTCTGATATTTATCAACGATATAGCTTTGTGTGATGCAAATTCCAATTTCATTCTGTTTGCAAACGATACTGCAGCAATAAATTATAATTGCTGCATTATCAGTTCTATGAAAATTGGAGTATTAAATATACAAGCAGTAGGTATTTCGCCATCACGTGTATGTATCAGAGCTGGGTAGTGCTTTGAAAAAAAGTGCTTGCTAAAGGACTTCAATTACTTTTAGTGCTTAGAGCTCTGTGCTTCAATCACTTTTCTAATTCAGGAAAAAGTGCTTCAATTACCAAGCACTTTTTAAAAGTGCTTGGAGCTTCAAGCCCTATTGAACTGCTTGAAGCACTTTCATACAATTTCGAGCACTTCTAAAGAGCTTCAAGCACTTATCAAGGGCTTCAAGCACTTATAAAGAGCTTCAAGCACTTATAA